AAAACATAGCTCTCTTGATATGAATTGTAATGCAGACAGATGATTTTACTTATCTTCTCACTGTGTCGTGGCTTTAAACCTCCCGCTGTTCCCCGCAGATACGGTTTCCATGGCGGCGCTAGCCTTCCAGTGCCTGCTGGGCTCCCCCAAGCCCTGCAGCAGCTGTCGCCTTGAGCAGGCTCTCCTGGCAGCGAAGGACCAGATCCTGAACTCCAGCACGGAGGACGGGCTCCTGGGGAATGCCTTCAGCACGCCTTTAGCTTTGCAGGTGAGGAGAGACGTCCGCTGCGCGCGGGTTCCTGTTTCCCTTGGACAGCGCCACAGGGGCCGGCCCCAGGGGCTTGCTCTGGCCCTGCTGACACTGGGTTAAACCAGTAAACCGGCTGTTTTTTTTGTGCGTGATGTAGGCAGGAAAGGCACGCTTGATTATCGCTTTTGGAATATTGTGAGTGAGGTGGTGCAGTCAGAACTACAGATTCTTTCTGTGTCAGTCCCCCTCTACGGTCTTGAAGTATTGTAAGATCTCCGATCTGGGGAAGCAGGACATGAATAAGAGATCCCCAGGGAGAATCGGGTGGATGTACTGTTGGTGGGCTCGTTTCCTTCAGAACAGAAATTCTGTGGTGCCGTATATCTGGGGGATCTTCGGCTCTCCCGGCAGCCGGGAATCCTGGATTGCGACCGGGCCGGCTCGGTGTTGACTGCCGGGGGTGGCGTGTGTTTCAGGCGCTGCGGGTGATGGGGGCGAGGCCGGCGCTCTGCTCCTCGGCGATGGCGGCCCTGGTGACGGAGATGGGCCGGGGAACGTTCCACAACCCCATGGCTCTTTCCCAGCTGCTGCCCGCGCTGCACCACAGAACGTACCTGGACGTCAGGAGCATGGCGTGCCAAGAAGAGGACGGTGAGAGATGGGATGCCGATTTGCACTGGAGATACTCTACACCCAGTTAAAATCAAATAATGCGTTTGGGGATTTTTCACATCCTCTTTTAAATATCTCTGTACACACTGTATACTGAAATAGTCCTGCTTCCATCCATGCATTTTCGAACTGCTTCTTCCAGTTCGGGGTCACAAGGGAGCTGGGGGCTATCCTGGCAAGCAGTGGGCACAAGGCAGTGCACACCCTGGGTGGGACGCCAGTCTATTACACTCACACAAGTTTTCTAGGAGCCAATGAACCTACCAGCATGTCTTTGGACTGTGGGAGGAAACCCACACAAACATGGGGAGAACGTACAAACTGCACACACAGCACCCCCGGTCCAGAAGTGAACCCAGGACACCAGCTCTGCAAGGCAGCAGTGCTGACCACTGCACCAGCATGCCACCGTCCTGCTTCTAGTTCTGGTTATACACAAGTTTCCTGCAGGATGTCTGCATTTTTTTCCCCATTAGTAATTTTAGTTCTTGCTGAAACGTTCTATACGGTGTATTATTGTGGTCTTTGTAATATCTTAATTACATAGCAGGCTGTAGAAATATTTTCCTTCCTCTTGGTTTTTTTAATAACTGCCCCTCTGTGGTGTTTTCCTTTAGATATTCATGAGGGAAAAAGTAAAAGGACAGTAGAATACTGAATGATCGCCAGTATGTTAGTTACTGAAGCAAAATCAAAATAATGATGTGAGAGAAAGGTTGCACAGCTGTTGAATAAGCTCACAGTCTCCAAGATGAAATGCAGAAGTGGTGAAGGCCTTAGAGACGTCACCACTGAACCGAAAGATGTGCTTAAAGGAGCAATGTCTTGGGTTCAGTGGTCAACTTGTGAGTTTGTCATGTCATTTAGAAAAGCATCACGTCTCCTTTTAACTGATAACGCACCTCAAAGCATTTTTTTAAAATAGATGCATGGTTTCAGTGGATACAAATACCGTAATTACTCGGAACACCGAAGTGTTTCCGATGGGCTTGTGTGTGGGATTGACGTGAGAGAGTGTGTATTTTAAGAGTGTGTGGCTCAGTACATGGTGAAGTGTGATTGGTAGGAAAGGACATCTGGGAGGCTTTTTGTGTCAAAAGGAGACAGTGTGTTAAAAGGTCAAAAACAGTTTACAAATGCAAATGTGTATTGCGTTCTCCAAGCCAGAGGAATAATTTTTCTCTTTTGTTTCGCTGAGCAGACATCCTAGTTCTGGATCCAAAGCCGCCCCAAGGAGACCCGAGCCCGGAGATGGTGCCGATGTGGCTGACAGTGGAGATCCCCGGAGCCCATTCCAATGTCTACAGCATGACCGTGCCCAAGGGCTCCTCACTGCTGTACGCTCTGAAGAAACTCTACAAGGAGAAGCCCCAGGAATTCTCGTAAGAAAGAATCTCTGCCCACTGTGAAAACACAACACAACGCAACTGCCAGGACAGGGAGACAGATAGGACAACAAAATGGCTTAACCTTTTAATGCTTGAACTGTTTTCTTTCCTCTTTCAGTCAAGTATTCAGTAGTTAGGTGAAGCATAACAATGAAATGGGCTGATGAAGTTGAAGTATATTCTAATATAAAATATTCTGCTTGATGCCAAGTGTTAGCTTACCTGGCTGAGGAAGTGACAGACGGGGCCAGTCCTGTCACAACCCCCTCACTTACAAGGAATGAGCCGGGGAGGCAGCTGCGATGGTGAAGTTGGGGTGGAGGGAGGGGAGCTAGAAAAGAAGTGCGCAGAGCTATGTGCATTCAGTGTTTATGCATAGGGGTGTAGATGAGCAAGATCAGAATTTGACTTCCTCCTGAACTCTGTTAAACACCATTTGGTTTAAAAATACAAGTATATTTTTAGATTGGTTTGCTTTACATTGGTCATCCTTGTAACAGAGACTTCCAGTAAGGTAAGAGTTGTAACACTGTAGAGTTGTTCCACTTACTACTCAGGCTGCACCAACTAGTTTGTTGCTATTTATGGACAGATGAAGCATCACTGTTAGAAGACAAAAACATATAAAAGCCACTTAGTAGTTTAATTTTCCCTGGCTGCATTTAATCTTTATATGAATCCTGAAATATCTCTGATTACATTTGATATCCAATATTCAGAAAGACTAGTCTTCCATATTTTTAGGTGGGGTTTATCTTAAGTTTTTCTTCATATATACTATCTCTGTTTTTATTGTTACCTTCAATTATAGTCTCTGAACAGTGCAAATAATGTAGGAATAATCCATTCTTGAATTTTCAATGCTATAGAAGCCTTTAGGAAGCTCAGACTAGTCTAAAGTACCTTCCTTCACAGATCTAAGTCCCATTCAGACACCAAGTATTGTGTAGTTTATTTGTTAAAAACCTTATTCACAGCATGCAAGGAGGAGATGAGCTACTAAGAACCATGATACTGTATCATTCAATACAGAATGGCAGTCTTTTATGAATAATTATAAGTCAAGTAAACATACATAAAGAGGCTTCAAAGACTTGTTGAATGCTGTGAGAATCTGCAGGGCTGTTTCAGTTCAGCTGAGTAGAGGATAAAATAGACAGGGTTGTCATGTGCACGTATGACCAGCAGGGGTCATCCAGTTAATAATAACAATACAGCAGAGACACTGTAGTCATGAATCATCTAATCGTTAACTGTGCCAGTAGGCCTGGATGTTAAGTGCATTGGGCTCTGTGTTGACCTGAGATCTCTACCTGCAGCTTTAAGACGGAGACCAGCCTGTGGGGCCCCTTCCTGAGTGTCATAAATGGGCACAGGGCGAGCCAGGCAGAGAGGGAGTACTGGCAGCTGCTCAAGTCTCCAGACACCCCTCTTGTTGAAGGTACGAATACCATGGAGACGCCATTTCTCCCACTGCTTCACACCCCCTCCCTAAAATTGTTTGCTTGGGATTTCTGCTTGAGACTAGAGCATTTGAACAGTTACTGTGTGCATCTCATACTCAAGCACACAACGACCTGAAACGTGCAAAGAGAGGATCTGTGCGATCAGGTATCTGTCTTACACATCCTTCATAGTGAAATGTTTTAGCAGCAGGCTGCTGGTTTCAGGTATTTGAAATGTTTGGAAGCACTAGTCCCATATTAACATTTGTGTTCAGTTTTTGAAGTGTTAAAGTTTTTGCAAATTCAAAGAAGGAAGTCATTTGGGTTTTATCCCATGGTGCTGATGACTGTGGAACTCTGTTAGTGCGTTCTGTGTTGTAATATCACCATTTCTTTTTATTGCAGGTATCAGGGATTATAAAGTTCAAGAGGAAGCCCACATCGTCATTAGAAAAACCAGTTGGTAGTTTGGTCTTCCACTTTGTAATTGTGTGATTAGTCCATTCTTAAGCACGCACTTCGCTATTATAATGTGATTTCAATATATCTGATTACTGAAAGGTAATTAACTTGTAATGCATATCACCAACACTGAAAACTGTTTGCTGTATGTTACTTTATTTTTTGATCAAATAGAGACATATTTTAATAGTTATAATGTTTTTTAAAATAATAATTTCCATGTTTAAAATTGACTGTGATGCACTGATTGCACAAGCCAAAGAACAGGGAATAGCTGGTGGAATTAAGTAAGTAAGTAAGTTTATTGTTGTTGGTGTAACTGATTTTTATACTGATATATTTTTCACATGATGTATATTATAAATGAAGCTAAAGGAAATGGTGTCACTGAAATTCATTCGTCGAGAACTCTAAACAGCATGGCACTGAGGTCTGTGTCCCCAGTGTATTTAAAGTTAATTACATTCCTTACTCATATCAGCGGTTATCAAACACCCTGAAACAATCCAGTGACTCCTACTGGTGAATATTAGCTGCCTTCTGGTGAGCTGTCTTTCTGATCTAGTGGAGCTACAGTAGTACAAGGAAGGTGACCCACTTGAAAATAGTGTGTGACATCTCCAGGACAAGGAATTGCAAAAAGGACTGTAAACTGTTTCTACAAACTTGTGTGTCAGATTTGAGCTGAGTGGACTTTGCATACCTGTACCTGAAAAGGAATTTCACAGTTGAAATGCTGCAGAGGTAGGGAGAAGAAAGAACTTGAAGTTCCCACTCCTTCCACAGTGTTTATATGAGCACTGAGGAAAGCAGGAGCTGTGGATCTCGCTGAAAAGCCCCTTTCAGAAGCTTATAATTTTATTAAGTGCCTGTTATCCGCCACATGTGATTCACATGCAGTTTTAAAACATCTAGAAATTGTTTTTGGATGCTTTCATGGCCTGTCACATGTTGGAAAAATGTAATTGTGGCATTTAGAGTGTAAGATCAGATCACTTTATTAGCCCTATACAATTTCTTGCATTAGGAATTTGTCTTTTCGCATACCCCAGCTTGCTCTCCATGAGACACACAGGCAGGGAGAGAAGCTGGGGGGTCAGAGCGCAGGGTCAGCCATTTATACAGCACCCCTGGAGCAGTTGGGGTGAAGGGCCTTGCTCAGGGGCCCCAACGGAGTAGGATTCCTCTGCTGGCTGTGGGATTTGAACCAGCAACCTTTCAGCCACAGGTGCAGATCCTGAGCCACAGAGCCACCGCTCCGCCCCCACTTGCAGTATTTGTAGATCTGCAAGTTTTTAATTGTGACGGTCATTCAGACCAGCAGAAACAGGAGCCTGTTGATGACAGATATCCTTGAAAACATATTTCCTTCCTAGCAACTACTCTGGCAGTGCAGGACTGTTAGAATATCTGCCGATGTGGAGTGTCATAAGTGAGCAGTGGTGAGCACTGCTCTCAGACCTGCGGCCCAGGGCTCAATCCCACACCTGGGGTCCTGTCTGTGTGGAGTCTGCATGTTCTCCCCGTGTTCCCCTGGTTTTCCTCCAGGTGCTCAGCTTTCCTCCCACAGTCCAGAGACATACTGGTGGGTTAATGGGTTTCTTGGAAATTTGGCCCTGGTGTGTGTGTGTGTGCGTCCTGCCCCGGGTGTACCCTGCCTTCTGCCTGTTGGTTGGGATCGGCTCCAGCTCCCCCATGACCCTGTTCCTGGATACAGCAGTTAGAAAATGGATGGAAAATTAGGATCAGCTCTGGAAGGGAAACCCTGTTGTTCTCCAGGACTGCAGCTCCTCCTGCCTGTTCTGGATCCCTGGCAGAAGACAAATGGAGATCTCCCCTCAGATGCTATCCCTGTCGGAAGGCACAAGTGGATGCTGGTGAACAGTGTAATTATGACCAAGGACAGAGGCTGTTCTTCATACAAAGGGTTGTGGACACCAGGAACAAGGCTGTTGAATCTGGAGGGCATCAAAGCAGTCCTCTCGGGAATCAGTTGGGGCCTTGTGTCAGGAAGCCATGAGCAGCCAGTTGATCTGCTGTTAAAGGACCCAGTGTCCCCTTCATATTTCTTGTGTTCTTTGTATGATAGAAATTGGGCTGAGGTCAGGAACATTTTCTTTTTCTATCGTAACCCCCAATGAAACTTGCTGTTGTGAAGGGCAGAGCATTACTGATCCTGTTTATTTTTTTCTCCCGTTTTTCTGTGGCTCACACCGTCGCTCATTAGTGACTCGAGAGGCCCCAGAACGGTTATAAAGAGGACATCTCCGGCTCGAGGTGTTGTTGTTATGCGTTTGGTTACTCTGTACCGATTGGGATGTAATCTGAATGGGGTTTTTAAAATGTCGAAATCCATTAAGAAGCCCGTTTTAGTCGCCGATGTAGAAATACATTCAGCCCGGGAGATGTAAGCTTGTAGGACATGCAAGAATTGTTCAGGAGCCATTTGAATCAAGTGCTAGTATTATGTGAGAGGCACGGCGTCCTTCCGTAAAACATTGCGGCGAGAGCTCAAAAACTTGTCTTGCGTCAGCGGACCGAGGACTCCGTGAGCACTCTGTTCTCTATATATCCCGGGAACTCACTCCATAGCGTCATCGGTTTTAAAAGTAAACTGGTGGACGCATTCGCTGCTATAAATACTGCCAGAGGTGGTCCTTTTAAACGCGCCTCAATCAACAGAAAGCACGGGCGCCCCCGTTGTCTGAAGTATGAGTCTACGTTGCTCGCAGTAAACCCAGCAACTCACGCCTAAACTGCATGTCCGCGCAACGCGTTTTATTTTATTTATTTTTTTAAATCTATTTTTGAACCTGTGACCACCCTCGGCGCAAGCCGCTGTGTGTGTGTGTGTGCGTGTGTGGAGCACCGGCATCAGCGACCTGCTCGCCCGGAAAAATCTGCTGTTCGCAGAGGAACGCAGTCGGGTCACATTCTCCGCTCCTGTGAAGGGATCGGGCTGAACTCGGCGACTGACGTTTGTCGCATTGGGAAGCCGGCAGAGGGCAAAAGTCACAAGTCGTGGGGACTCTCGCCGGAGGGACGGAGGCGTCCAGAATGCGCCTGGACTCTGACGGAGGTATTTAAAAAATATATATTTTTGAATACGCGACTGTTCCGGGCTTTTGGTTTTGCAGGCGTGGCGATCTGTCAAAAGCACCGGCCGGCATGAATGCGCTCCGGCGGCCCTGATGAGTTGACAGCTAAGCCCCGAGCGTGTGTGTGCGTGTGTGTGTTGGGGGACCGGGGTTACATCTTACATCGGAGCGGCCAATACATTGTATTTCTCTGCGTCTGGAAAATAAAGCCTGGGCGGCACCTGACGAGTTCGAGACTGCGTGGTGAGATTAAAGTGGGTCATTCATTGTTGCGGGAGTGAGATTTTAGTACAGTGGTGGCCTCTACGAGCAAACATAAAACAACGAGAAGCTTGCTGAGACGTCCAAGGAGTGGTACGTATTTTATCGTTGATTTTTAGCTCCTATGAAACGACGGGGCAGTGCATTTTTTCCCAGCGGCGCAGTTACACACACAGGATTGGATGGGTTTTTATCATCGCTTTGTTGTTGTTTTTTTTTTCTCTCTCCCCGTTGTGTTATGCTTAAGGCAGATAACATCGGCTTCGGCAACGAGGTCTCGGCTTCCTTGTTTGCGGTTCCGATGCCGGTCGCATTGATCGGAGCTGAAAACGCAGCCCTGCGAGAGGAGCTTCGACATCTTTCCGCGATCACGGGATGCTGCGATGTGCGATTTAGGGAGCTTCTGTAGCCCTGTCTGTGCCGGAAGAGCCGAGCAACAGCCGTGGCGCTTTTTACCGCAACATAACAGAGGTAACAGCCGGCGTTTGTGTCTCAGAGACGGGCTCGGGGGGTTAAGGGTTTAAAGCGGGTGTTTTTCCGCCCACCTTCCCGTGGCAGGCTGGCGTGATGTCTTCACTGGCTCTGCCCTCCCCTCCCGGGCGATGCAAGCGCTATAGCATATGTCATCGGTGTCCGGTGACAAACCCCCGGCCGGCCGCACAATAACAACACGTGTTGGGGAAAAGGCGTGGAAAATAACCGTGTTTACGTCTTAGCAACCGACAGTTTGTACCAAAACTAAGGAGGGGAGCCCGGTCAGACACACTGGAAAGAAGAAGTGCTCTTTAGAAACGGTGTTTTCCTCGTTTCGACTGATTTAGTGCGCTGAGGGCGAAAACCTCGACCGCTCGGCGTTGAGAAGTCACTCGATGCAGCTGCCCTGAGCTCTGAGCATGTGTCTGCCTTCCAGGGGAGAGGATGAAGCGACCATGATACCAGCCCATGGCGTCCCAAAGGCTGCCAGGACGCCGGCCCGCAGGCGGCCCTCCGAGATGCTGCACCTCCTGTCCGCGGTCGTGGTGTGGCTTGTGACGGGCACCACCATCTCCAGCCTGAACAAGTGGATCTTCGCCGTGTACAACTTCCGCTACCCGCTGCTGCTGTCGGCCCTGCACATGCTGACGGCCATCGTGGTGGACTACGGGCTGATCCGGCTGCGGGTGGTGGAGCCCCGGAGCGGCGAGAGGGACCTCACGGCCCCCGCCAGGATCAAGGTCTTCCTGCTCAGCCTGACCTTTTGCGCCAGCATCGCCTTCGGCAACGTGGGGCTGAGCTACGTGCAGCTGTCCTTCGCGCAGATGATCTACACCACCACGCCGCTGTTCACGCTGGCCATCTCCACCCTCATCCTGGGCAAGCAGCACCACGTCCTGAAGTACACCGCCATGATGCCCATCTGCCTGGGGGCGTCCTTCAGCATCATGGGGGAGGTGCAGTTCGACCAGATGGGCTGCTTCTTCGTCTTCGCTGCTACAATGTTGAGAGGAGTCAAGTCCATTCAACAAAGTGAGTCACCGCGCCGGATAACACTGCTGTATAGCGCCCGGCAACGGCATGAGGGATTGGCGCGCTATTCTGTATTCTTCTTCTTTTTTTTCCAGGATTGATAGATAGATACTTTATTGATCCCGTGAGGGAAATTGCAGGATTGATTTCAAGCCTTTGTTGTAACGATTGTTTTAATTCAAGTACACGTGAGCTGCCTACAGCGGCTCTCTTACCTAGTTTCGAGCTTTTGGTTTGAATTGGCATTCCCCGCCTACAGCTCTTAATCCATCTGTCAGTTTTTTTTTTGGTAACCAGCGATTTAAGTATCGGGTTTCACGCTCTTAGTCCGTGCTAGTGCCCTTCTCCTAATATATTCCTAGACACACGGCGATATGTCATATACACAGTCACAGTGATGTGTCTCCGTCCAATTCAGCTCTTAAAAAGTTCTGTTTTTCGGTGATAAACACTATTACGGTACTTTTTTGTTGTTGTTGACTTGTCACAACAGGGAATGCAGAGCACTGTTTGTGCCTGAACAGATCTGACACGTATCCGGCGCATTCACCAGCCCTGTGTCCATGTGTAGTAGAATACAGTCAGGATCATGTCTACAGCCTAGTGCACATGTGCCGTATGGAGCTGAATCGGGTGCGAGGGTTATCGCCCGTCTCTAGGAGCTTACAGTTCGCTCTCCTCTCCGGCTCGGCCTGGGGAATCTGGTGTGTGTTCATCACCCAGCCAAAACTGGAGGCCAGCCGCACTGTAGTGTGCATTTTCTTGTGCGAGTCACCGTGGAAAAGCTCTTTGCTCTCATCCAATGGTGAGCCAGAATGAAGCTGTTGTTTTTTCTTTCTTTCTCTCCTACGCGTTTTTCCCTTTTCGCTGAATGACTCATTCAAAGTTTGAACTCACGGCTGTAACGCCTATGCAAAGCATGCGCCCGAGAGGCCTGACAGTGACGTGGGCCTGTCCCTGCGTGCAGTGGGGCTGCGTGGATTCGACACTCGAGTACCAGTGAACACGGTAGCTTCCCTCGAACTCGAAAACGTTTTTTTTTTTGTGGCCACAGACGTCTCGTCCGGTTTGGTCAGGTCGGGGGGTCCGGTCAGATACTCTGCCTGGTGAAATCTCTTTTAAATGTTTTGGTGGTTTTGACCCCTGAGAAATTACACTTTGGAGCAGCATTACAACAAAATAATCTCGAAGGATTCTCCAAATCTCCAAAGGCGTTTGGAGTATAGGCTGCTAAAATTTCCACACTGTTTCGCCAGTACAGTTGTTAACACTTGTATTTTAAAGTGCAAACTGTGTTTTAATGTAATTATCTAACTTTTAATTCGACCAAGCCTATTACACAACCCTTTCCTTTCCGCTTTCAGATGATTTCTAAAGATGTTGATAAATTATCAAAAATCTTAAAAATATAAAAAGAAAGTCAGTGAAGTTTTGATTTATTAGGTCTCAGCAATATAGAGAATAGATGCAATACATTAGAGATCGTGACTAGCAAAACGCACTTAGACTAAACAGCGCGAGTAAAAAGGTCCGATGGCACAATTTATTCTGACATTACACAAGTCTTTATACCGCATTGCAACACTACACGTTGTCGCTTATCTGGATTTGAATCAACCTTCAGCTGTTTACAGCTGTTTACCGCATCTCATCTCGTCGATGTCAGCTGCCAGTTGTGACATGACGTCTAAGTGAGCGCCTCACTCCGGTTATTAAAGACTCCGAGGGAAAGGGCTAAATGAGTAAGGAAATGACTTTGTAAGTGGTTTTTGAAATTGGCATGCAGTAGAAAGATAAGATAAAGGCTGCATCAGTTTTTATAATGGCAAAAACAGCCAGCTCGGAGCAGTTTGTCTCAGACTTCTGGCCTTGGGATGTGTGACAGTAAACCCAGCTCCTTACTGCCTGGTTGTTAAACATCCCAGGACACTGTTTGTAAGAGAAGGGGTGTTAACCTACTGCAGGTGTTCAGCCTTCATCGCTCTTTGAAAGTCATAGCCTGGCATTCCTACGTCGCCCATATACTTCTTTTGAAATGAAACAAAGCTGTAAAAGTGCAAGGAATTATTACAGTTTTTAAATTTGCAAGGCCAGACTGTATAGCTCATGAGTGATGCAAAATATCATATTAATATTATTCACCATATATTGTTTTCTGGTAAACAGTATTTTGTATGTTAAATATATTGTGTTTGTATTAAATCACAAACCTATCTCTGACGTATCTTACATTTCAAATATGGTGTTGTTGATTTTATAAGTTGACCCCATTACGAGCAACTAGAAAATATTGTGTTGTCACTCTTGAACTATGCATCATTAGTAAGGGTCTAAAAATCACCTGACACCCCCTTCCCCCACCTGGGTCCTGTCTATAAATACACCTCCTGATGAAACTAGAGGTCTCAGGTTACTGCTCAATTCATACATTGCGCTTTCTAAAAAGATGACACAGTGATTTTCATGATGGACTATTCAAGAACACACTCATTCTGTACAGCAAACTGTCAGGAACTTCTTATGGGCAACGTTCTGTGACTTGCTTTGCTTTTAAGAGTAAACGAACTCAAGTCTCATTTTATGGAAATATCTAAAAGGAAAAAGAGCCTCAACAAAACACTGTTGGATAAGAATGTGGTTTATTTTCATCCGCCTTAAATAACATGTTCTTACATGTCCTTAAATGTTCTTTACAGTCTAATGAACCGTAAAGATCAAAACAAGCAATGACACACAGAGAAAGTGAAAGTTGAATGTTGTTTTACATTAGGAAGTGCCTGTACCGTGCTCTTGGCCTTTTCTTTTTGAGTTACAAAGTACAAAGTCTACAGTACTTCACAAACACACTGTGGTAATTGAGTTAATTAGAGTACCTCAAATTGCACAGTTGATGGTTTGTAGGAGAGCATGTTCAGTCATTATTCAAATACATTGTGTAGTGCAGTGGTGAGCATGGCTGCCCTGCAGCACTGGGGCCCTGGGTTCAATGCCAGACCTGGGTGCTACAGTATGTGTCTGGTGTTTGTGTGGGCTTCCTCCTGCAGTCCAAAGACATACTGGTGGGTTAACTGGCTTCTGGGAAAACCGGTCCTTAGTGTGTGCTGTGTGGAAGATAGTTTTGTCTTGAGGTTTAGGCAGCTGCTTTGAAAGAGCAGTATAGAACAGTGTGAGTGAGATACAACTAGGAAAGTTTCACTTCATATTTCATGCAATCCTGAGCCAGTAAGCGCTGTTTCTATAACATAAAGTCCCCAGATCATTTTCTTTATACAGATCCTCTTCTTCCATCCATAATGTGGATGTTTCCAACCAAATGGAAAGTTATATCCACTTCTGTGCACCTTACAGCACCACCTCAGTTATCAGCTTTTTAAGGAAAGATGTGATAGTGATGCAAATTACTCAGCAGCACAGGAAAAACATCCTATTTGCCTAATTCCTCCACTAAAATGGTTCTGCCGATACTACAGTAGCATTCCACATGTGTAAAATGAGCTGCATGCCAATTCAGTTTGTCACAATATCCATCCATCTATTTTCCAACCCCTTCTTCCAACTCAAGGCTGCGAGGGAGCCAGAGTCTGTCCTGGCAAGCAGCAGGCTCAAGGCAGGGTACACCCTGGACAGGACGCCAGTCCATCACAGGGCAGGTTGACAGACACCCTCACACCAGGGCCAATTTTCCTAGAAGCAAGTAAACCTACCAAGAGGTCTTCATATTGCAATTAGCACCCCAGCTCCAGAATTGAACCCAGGGCCCCAGTGCTGCAAGACACTTAAATAGCTAAATGTGTGACATTGAAATTGTAACTGTAATTGAAACAGAAACCCTCCACTTTCCTAGCTGAGGTAATCATGGGAAAGGATACCTCTTCATCCCAATTATATTTTTGTCTTCTTAAAATAAAATCTAACCTTGGTATTTACAGTATATCACAATGCGTCTGCACCCTTGGTTTAAACAGCAGACACATGCATGGCTGTCATTGTCAGGCCAAGTGTGTTGAACCAGGCTAAGGTACCAGACAGCTGTGTGTTAAGGTCTCCTACATTTTATGCTTTGGATTGTGATGCAGGTTTAGAGCACTTTAATGCAGAATGGCGCTGCTACAGCAGAGGTTGCAGGCTCCCCTCAGTGTGGATCTGACGGTCAGGTTTCTCTTTGTGTCTTGAATCAGGCATTCTCCTCCAAGAGGAGAAGATCAACTCGGTCGTCTTGCTCTACCTGATGGCCATCCCCAGTTTCTGCATCCTGGCCGTGGCCGCGCTGGTGCTGGAGAACTGGGCTGCCCTGGAGTCGCCCCTGCGGTACGACAACCACCTGTGGGTCTTCATCCTGCTGAGCTGCCTGGGCTCCGTCCTCTACAACCTCGCCAGCTTCTGCGTCATCACCCTCACCTCCGCCGTCACCCTGCACGTCCTGGGCAACCTCAGCGTGGTGGGCAACCTGCTCCTGTCCCAGCTGCTGTTCGGCTGCCAGCTGTCGGCGCTGAGCTGCGTCGGCGTGGTGCTGACGCTATCGGGCATGGTCATGTACCAGAACACAGACTTCATCGCCGGGTACCTGGCCTCCAGGAGGAGCAGAGCCCAGAGAGGGGAGGGGTCCAAACGGGACTGAGGGCGGGGCGGCTCCCGGGGATGACTATGAGCCTAGAGGGAGAGCAGGGGATGAGCGGGTGGGTGGGACGTTGTTATTTGCGTTGTCTTCTGAGCCGGCTGTGCTTCGGGATACACTGAACCACCTGGTTATTTATTTACTGCCCCTGTGCCAATATATATATATGTAATGAATGATGGTATGCATATTAATTATCTCTCATCCAATCACAACAGTACAGGAGACGGGATTGTCGTATGACATCTTGTTCCTCCTTTTTAGAAGTAGAAAATAAAGTCACAGGCAGCACCCGAGCACAGCTGTTGCACCCTTAAAAGGCTCACATTTAGCCTGTTCCTGCCCCCGGAAGCAGCCGGAATGGGATTCCGGCTCACGGGGGCCGATGTAGGTTGTGGATGTGCCAGTGCCACCCCCCGGCTTGGCCTGTGTGGAGAGGTGACAGTGGCTGAGCAGAGGAGAACCGTGTGGAAACTTAGGGTTTCTCGGAAATGCAGACAGGCACAAAAACCTGGGTTGAAGCCCGTCGAAATGCCCCAGTATCTTGGGGGAAGATCCAGGCAGCTCCTGTGCAGTCTATGGTATTTTTAATACAGGGTCCTGTAATGCACATTTTTATGAAACAATATGTTCCATTTGCTTGCTGCAAACTTTTAGGTTTAGTTTCATTTAGTTTTAATGCTGGTCAGGGCTACTTTTTTGTTTAGAACCGATAAAGCAGCATCTGAACATTTTCGCATTTTCTCCACTGGAGTAATTCAGAGCCCTGTCTCTTCACTGTGCTTATGTTGCCTTGTGATCGCTCTAGCGTGAATGAGTGGAGATTGTAGAAACTCCTTTCTCCTTCTCCCCTGTTTAGGAAGCCTCCTACGTTCTCTTCACAACTACATAAACATGCTGAAAATCTGGACCCGCCTCTGGTAGGCCCCTCTCTCTGTTGAGACTGGAGTTGCTCTCCAACAGATGCTCAGGATTCATTATTGACATCTGCTGTGTCAGTGTCATGATCTGAAGGTGCATCAATGTTGATATTTGTCCTTTTATCATCATTTTAAAGAAGGAGAAAGAGCGGTCAGCTGCATTTATCAAAAACTAAGGGGAAGCCGTAACCATTTCTGTCAGACACCAAGTAGACACCAGGAGGTCTAATTGAAAATGAGACTCAGGAGTGCCACAAAGAACCAGAAGTCTAACTAAGTGCTTGTTTGGTGTGCTTTTGCAAATTTCACACATCATTGTCTGTTTCCTGCCTGTCATTCTTCATACACTCATTGCACAGATCTGTAAAATCAACTGTGTACTGTTGGTAAAACCAGTCAATGTCAAGGCTTTATTTATTTGTGGTTGTGTCCGCTGGTAAAGAAGAAAAAAGATTGTTAATTTAATAGTTGTCAAGATAAACCTGGTTTAATTCAAGTACAGGACAATCCAAACTATTCAGCAACATAACCAAGAGTTCTGTTTTACCATTGAAATATTCAGAAACACTGGCTCATTTACGGATTTATTTACAAAAACCCTTGGTTTTAACCTGCTGTATTATTATTGGACATATCTTCATATCTGAAGTTGTTCTTTGTATTGGAGAAACACATTTTAAAGTGCTGCTTTGTACTTCTGTGGACAGCCAAGCAGCCTTCATATATGTATGTGTGTAAATACTGTATTAGGATCTTAAAATATTACAGCACAATGCAGATTTGGCAGCCCTTTAAGAAAAATAAGTAGCACTATTCTGCTAACCTAAAGTTCTTGCATTTACAGACCTCAGAAGCTAAGGTCAAGTGGATCTGGCTCATAGTGTTTGTTAAGATGCATCTTTTGAAATGTTTTAAGAAATTACTGATTTCTTCAGAAAACGAGGTAGATTGGTTCCGTTTACAGAACTAGAGTGCTGAAGCAGTAAATTTGCAAACAATGTCCTATTACAGGGATGTCCAGAGAACAGTGCTGTGGCATTTACCCAGCAACAAAGACCACATGCCACCCTTTTGTTACAAGAGGGTGTATTTGTCCTGGTGTCACTGTGAGATTACCAGTCCCATTATGGGGCCTAGAGTAATTCTGTCGCCCTGATTAGTTGCCAAATAAACTCAGTTGATAAATACAGCTTCCACAGAATGAATGCAGCCTTTAAATCTTGATGTAACTGTGTGATTCTTGGTCCTCCTGGGTTTCTCTATTGTGCAAACCTCTGTGATCCACAGTTGTGGTGGAACCCCTCTATAATCCTATAAATTGTATTCACCCTTGAATACACGTGCTCAAGGTCAGACTTGAAGAGATGCAGGTTGTGATAACACCTGTCCTGTCCATGTTAAGCAAATTGCACAGGCAATTAGTTAAAATTGCTGCCTTTTTCAACATTCTCGTATAACTTGAATTGTATGTATATAATGTTACTGTTATTGTCTAAAAGTTGGATGTAAATAAATATTTTATTTATGTACTTTATGATCATGAAAGACTGACTAAATCTACAGGCTAAGAATGTGATGGCTTTGTTTTTTATCAAGGTAGCAAGAAAAGTACACAGGTTTTGACAAAAGTTAGAATAGAACCAAGGTAATGTGTAGCTGTCTTGAAAAACATACTTTCATCACTTTCCCTGACTGAAAATCATTCAGCACCAACCTTTCCCACACATTGACAGACTGGCAAACACTAGCTCGTACAGTATTTTCAGGGGTAATTAACAAAGGTACCACATGTGCTTTGGTAGTAACAGTTGTTGTTTGACATCTTGGAAATTGTGTATTTCTGCAGAAACTGTATGTGTGCCTCAAGTTCAAAGTTGAGGTTTTCAGCAAAATGTTTTCTGCATGAATGTCCTAGGTTGGGTTTTACACTTGCTAATTAGCCCAAGCAGTGTACCAGCATCTACAGTGACCACCACTGCTTGAAATACCACCCAAGGAATCTGCAGCTAGGATTTGCCATTGCTGTGCAGTAATGCACATACTGGAGCCATTATTTAAAGCCACTGTCAGTCTTTTCAACCGGACGACTGAAAGCCAAGGGGTTCAGTTTGGGAACCTTCTTTTACCACTAAAATAAACGTGAACCATCAAGAAAAGCATTAAACATATTGAACATATTGCCAGCAGAGAGAGGATGAGGAACATTATGAAGTGCTTGATAATGATTACCACCAAGTCAATAGTGGCCAGCTGAAAACTGCCCCAGAGCTTGCTGTTTCTGAACTCAGGGGTTTTAAATGCAAACTCTAATGAGATGAGGCCTAACATAAGGTCAGCCCTCACTTGATTTCTCTCCTCCCCAAAGCCCACTCACAACCTGCACTGGGGTGAGCCCTGCATCACAGAAGTACATTCATGTTTCGTTTTTAAAAAGACTTACAAGAGCAACAAGAAATCTTAATAGATGCAACTCAGTTCTGCCAGATACCTCCAGGTTCAGTGGAATTTTTTGCTGACCTACTTTTGCTGCTCTCTTACTGACATCATAACATCAATTTTCTACTCCGCTCTGTATAGCAGAGTCAGACTTGTTCAGATGCAAACATGCTCCTTCCTGAGGAAAATGGCAGGAGTGCACTAGAGACTAGACTAGTCTCCAGTCATTCGCTAGATAAGGGTTAATGGTGGCTATGGAGAGATGGCACAATGGATAGCATTGTTGCTTCGTAAGTTGGGGCCCTGGGTTCAATTCCAGACCTGAGGTGCTGTCTGTGTGGAGTTTGAATGTTCTCCCCCTGTTTACTTGAATTTACTCCAGGCACTCTGGTTTCCTCCCACTGTCCAAAGACATTTGTTAAAGGAGAACTCTGCCATGGACAGGATTCAAACCCCAGGTTCCTGAAGTCATTACTTGTTGTCAACACTAGTTGAGTTACTGCCACTATACTTGTGTGTACTGCGAAGAGGATGCCGTTGAAGATAACAAATAAAAAATAATAGTATATCATAAAATATTCATTATAAACTAGCCACAGGCATGTCAGGAGCGACGAATAAAAAAAAATAGATTTTGAGCCGGGAAATTCTGCCAGGTTCATATAAATCTACCACACGATGGCGCTGAAGGGCCGGCTTGTCACCCCTCCGCATGAAGATCTGAACCGGGGCCCTTCTCCCTTCAGAAAGCGGGGGACCCTGGTGTCGGGGTGGTGTTTGTGCAGGTGTCAGGCGTATGGCGAATGACGCACCGTGGACGGTTAGCGTCTCCTTACACTTAACAAGCGCTTTGCAGGTCATGGGGATCCCCTCCACCCCCAGTGTGCAGCCCCACCTGGATGATGCCCCAGTCCGCTCCCCACACACCAGCTCTCAGTGGGGAGGAGAGCAGAGTGATGGAGCCAGTTCAGAGAGGGGGGTTATTAGGAGGCCATGATGGGTAAAGACCAGGGGGAAATTTGGCCAGGACACCAGGGTCGTATCCTGCCATCTATCACATAAATATCTCTTTAAGAGTCTTTTGTAAGATGTTATCATTATACGACACAAGACAAATCCCCAGTTTTAAATGTACGCAATCTGATTCATTTAAAAGCAACGTAAAAAAAAAGTCAAATCAACCAATCTCAATCGACGTAAGAACCGCACTTAAATGAAATAGCGTTTCTATTTCTCTAAATGGAAAGCCTTTCTTTATATATACACATATGCATCATAGCGAGCGGGCCTTGTCGGTCAATAAGCGCCTCGCGCCCCTGCCCACCGGCACGGGCCACAGGGCTCCGCTCGCGAGCCGCCAGCCCCGCGCACCGGATGGCTTGTTTTCCTCGTGCACGCTGGCTCTTTAATTCTTTCCGGCCGGGACAGCGCCGCGCATGCGCCGAGCGGACCTCCGATTTCCCCCCATCATGGCGGCGAGGGGCCATGTGCAGGACCCTAACGACAGGAGGCTCAGACCCATTTACGGTAACGATTTGCCGCTGCCGCTAGATAAGAGCCTGGCAGCGAAGCCGGGGCCCGCGGTGGTTCTGCGTGTCCCGGTTCCGGCGCCTCCTGTCGGAGGCAGATCTGTGCGGGCGAGGCGGGACGAGAGCGCTTGCGGGCCGCCAGCCGGCGCCTCGGAGTCGGGTAGTAGCTGCCCGGAATGACAGCGCGCCTTCCCCCGGCTGTACGCGCGGGGCCGGTCGTGGGGACTTCGTGCATGGTGCTCTCAGCCGGGGGTTGGGGTTGGACGGTGCGAGGGGGTGGCGTGGTCGGAGAGCGCGGTACTCGCTGCTCACGCCGGGCCAGGCGGACTCGGGGTCCAGCCGTGTGGGGCTGAACGAGTTTGCCGGACCCGGTGCAGAGTAAATCCTCTAATGTCATTGACTGGATCGCCGGCTCGCTGGAGGTGGCGTTGTTTTATGAATGGGTTCAAGCCGCTTCCTTTCAGCCTAGTGATCCTGGTGGTGTTTGACCTGACTTTAAGTGATCGATTGTCCTAATCCGGCGCGGAGTGGGGTGCAGAAGTTGTGTTTTCAACACGTTCATCTTGGGAACGGCACTGCCGTGCAAAAGCTGCCGGCTCTTGCGCTCCTGAGCTTGGTTTACCTTTGCGCATCGTTTCTCGTCGTTCGTTGCGAGCGATCTGACTTTGCAAAGGCCTCTGAGGTCACAGGTGCCACCGTGAAGCGCTGCGACGAAAAGTATTCATTTGAATCCGTGTAGTCTTTCCCTGATAGCGATCCTAAGCGACGCTGTGGAGATTTGCCGGTGTAGATTTGTGTTATTACACGTTTAGCAGTCTCCGAAGAGCCCGTATCCTAACGTGATGAAATGGTCTTTGACGCGGGGCGCGCTGCTGGACAGCGAACACATCGATGAGATGAACGTTTCTCATCTGCCTCTCGAGGTTGGACGTGACCACCATGCAAGTCCTCAACCGGTTTGTTGTAGTTAGAAACATGAACCACACTTTGAAATAGCTCGAAGACTGTCAGCTAGCTTTCCATAGCTGAGACTGAATTCCTGGGGTGTGCAGAGCGGTTTGTCTCCTTTGACAGAAACTTTGGTGGCAGCATTTAACAGCTGAAAGTGTGATGTCTGATATTGTGGATCGTGTGTCGGAAATGGGACCGCACACCGTCCCGTTTTCTAGTGTGAGGTACTGTGTCACTGAAATAATTTCCAGTTTTTGTGCTGGTCCTTTTTCTTTGACTGCTTAATGTGAACTGTCAAAGCACAAAAACAGCACTTGTGTCACCAAATCACACCGTCCACCCCAGTGCAAGATGTGACTGTCATTGTGAGGGAGGAATTGGCGTGTAACGAATGTCTGTTTTTGTGCCTCTGTAAGCTTTCCTGCTTGTGTGGATTCTCTCGGATATATTCGGACCTTCTTCTCAGCTGGGCACGATCAGTGTGTGTGGACACGCCAGGCCAGAAATCGTCAGGAATGTGTTTTCACTCGACGTCGCTTACCATCGGTGCCGCTGAGCAGCTATCGCACCGATTCCCTCCTCCTCCGGCTCTCTTACTGACCTTACTGATTGTCAAGTGGGTTTCCTCCGGGATCGGTCACAGATTCACGATAAAGTTATTTATTCCTGTAATTGTATACGTTTCTAAAGTCCGTTATTCCTTGAGGTCCCCAGTCTGCTAGTCCCATGCTCTGTGGCAGAATCCCGGGCTGGTTGAAGCCACAGCTGGTGGGGGTCGAGTGATCAGACTGGCACATTATTGATGGGTTCTCATCAGCAGAAGCTGGTAGGAGGTGTCCCGTCCCGCAGGGTACCCGAGTGCCGCATTGCGTTGCGCTGAAATCCTCTGGTCCGTCTCCGGGGATCTGATTTGTCTCGTTTGCTGGGCGGGCTCAGTGCTGCAGCTCCTGGGGTGCTGTCTGGGTGGAGTTTGTATGTTCTCCCCGTGTTCACTGAGGTTTCCTCCCACAGTCCAGAGACATGCTGGTAGATTAATTGGTATTCTGGGAAAATGGACCTATGTGTGTGTGTGTGTGTTTGTATTGACCTTGTGTCTGCCCTGTGATAGACTGGCGTCCTGTCCAGGGTGTACCCTGCCTTTAGCCTGTGGCTTGCTGGAATAGGCTCTGGCTCCCCTGCGACCCTGTATTGGATGGAGAAAAAGGAGGTCATGAATAAGGGGAAAGAGATTCCTGATTCATGGGTGCCCATTCTGGCATCCACACATTGATACTAGACGCACACACAGCAGTGTGACCGGACACATGGTGTACCTGCAGCCCTGTGTCGGCCAGTCTGTGAACCTGGGCCCTCTGGCCTTTCCTGCGACACGCCGAGAGCAGCTCTGCACGCCCGTTCCACTTCCGAACCCTTGAGTTGTGTTGCTGCTCCACGGGGAGCTGGGATTGTGAGGCGTGGGAGCCCTCGTTCTGGGGAGTCACGCTGAAGGGCTACAGCGACACACAGGTCTCCCGTCCCCCCCCTTTCTGAAACACACGGGTGTCTCTGTCTCGGCACCCTGGGCAGTTCGTTCTTCTGCGTCTTGACTTTGTTTTACAGTGCGATCTCACTGGTGTTTGTGGGGCCCGTCTGGATTTTGGCCAGTCTTATTTCAGTCCTGTGTCTCCTGCTGATGAGATGGTTTTTCCTGCCGTTGGCTATGTGCTGATTGTGTTGTACGTGAGAAGGGAGAAAGCAGGTGTATCATCATTCTAGCCGGTGGCTGAGTAACAAAAAACCCGAAGATCTTATCAGACTGACAGTGCGGGACAGGTTAGCAAGTGTTTTGACGTAAACTTGTTATTTTGCCAAATAACATCCATTTGAGTTTGTTTTTTTTTAATTTTTTTAAAGGTTTTTTTGGCTGGATATATTTTGGAAGCCTCTAGTTCTGATCCTGCAGTTGTAGGAGTTCCTGGAATTGTCTCCTTTTCTTCTGCTGCAGGTTTGGAGAAACCTTACTTTTCTTTCAGGGATGTGAAAGTTCCGCAGTCCACGCTGAAAGGGGGCGAAAGAAGTCTAATTTTTAATAAACTGCAGCAGTTTGTTAGTATGAATTAGCAGGACAATGTCGGAATGAGCAGAGAGATGATGCACGTCGTCAGCCGTGTCTGCGCTGTTAAATCTGGCCTTCAGCTGCTGTTAAGTGACAACAAGGCCTTTGGCTCCGGATTCCCTCCGTCCCCCACAGGGGACGACAAGGACGTTCACGAAGCAGAGGTCGGCCATTATATTTAGGAGGCATCGCTCAGTCGGGAAGGAAGCTGGGAAGGCAGCAGTCGCTGGCAGCTGTGCTGTGTCCAGACCTGGTGCCTTCCCTTGCCATCCGCCTGTCCATTGTCTAGCCATGGTCGAGGGGGACGCACACAGCGCCCCAGGTCTGGATCTGAACCCAGGGCCCCAGCGCTGTGAGGCAGCAATGCTGACCACATTTGAAACAGGACACCTTTAATACAGGGCTTCTCTAACACCTTGCTCTTATCATAAGGCAGACCCAGTTCAGAGAAAGCTGTTTACACAGAGAGGTGACAATGGGCAAAAGGGAAAAGTTCATTTAATTTAATAAGCTTCAACAGCACTTCAGCACAGACTGAACACTAGGCGTAAAACCCAGAACACACAAACATTATTTGCTGTGTAAATGTAATGAACCTTTTTCAGACAAGAAAGGGCTTACAAGACGACCACCGTGTTAAGAACAGATACACCCCTGGAGGAATGGGACCCGTCCTGCTTGACAACCAGGTGTCTCACTCACTGTGCACGTGTGAATTTTGGAAACATCATGGATGGGCTGCGCCCTTCCTTCGAGATTATTCCACAGCACGCGGGCCTGAAGTTGCCACACTTTCAGAGACTGAAAGGATGAGTTGTTGTTTTTTAATTTGTGACCGTTTATACGTCGTTTATCATTTGAAGTGTGATGCACCAGATTCCGACAAGAGCCGCCCTTACACACTGGTACATGATGCCAGACGTGTTCAGCATGTCCTCCTCTGTTCAGTCCCAGTCCAGTTCAGTGCTGGGAGAGAGCCAGGGGCAACTGAGCACAATTCCCGCATAGCTGCTGTCTTACAATCCTCCAAATGTTTTGTTTGTCCACATTGCATTTTCAGTCTCGCTTGTCAGTGCTGTCCACGCCAGGCCTCCTGTGGGTTTGGGTTAAATCAGTCTGAAAGAGTGGTGTCAGCTGTACTGGATTTGCTACCATCCTGACTTTCACCAGAGAGAAAGAACACTTTCGTACACTGGCATCTGGAATGATGGCTGTTGTGTTTTTTTCAGGGTTATCAGCTCTTTTTGGAATTTCAGATTGTGCCCTATTTAATAAGCGCTCATTTGGGATTCTGCTTGTGGTCTTTTCCAACAGCGAAGAAAATGCAGGTGAACAAAACGCTGAAGTACTTTGCCATTGCTTGGGTCTCAGTTGGAAATCCTTGGACCCCTCTGGTTTGGAGGACGTTCAGATTTCAGATGAACGCTTTGATACTTTCGACTGAGGCAGCAGTCGGGGAACCTTGTGTTTTGTCTTGTGCGCTGACAAGAAGGCTCATAGAATAAACCGAGGTGAAAATATTTCTTCATCTTTTACTGGAGCATTCCTAGAGATGAATAGTTTAAATCACTAATGTAAGCGTAATGTCCGTGTTTAACAACTAAGGTGTTTCGCGTTGGGGTGTTTTGTCAGGCTGGCTCTAGGACTTGCCCAGAAAGCGGTGTCATTGCTGACATCATGTGCTTTCCTTTCAGATTACCTGGATAATGGCAATAACAAGATGGCTATCCAGCAGGCCGACAAACTGCTGAAGAAGCACAAGGACCTTCACTGCGCCAAGGTGGGTGAACAGACCTCCGCGCACGTGTGCTCTAGAAAGATGGGCATCCATCGTGAAATACCAGCCTTCCTTCATTCATATGCGCTAAGAATATCTGTGATACACATGAGCTAGCTGGCATATGGAGTTTGAGTCGGCTCCATTTTGTGCTTGGGTTTTGTCACTGCTGTAATATCTGTCTGTGATGTGGCAGAATCCTTTTTCTCGACCACTCACTCCGGTTGACGCCAGCAGCACTGGGCATGGTTGAGGGTTGAGCCATGTGCTGTACTCTTTTTCCAGCTGTCCCAGGAAAGACTTTCCTGAAATTGCCAGGATCAGACAGCAGGCCCACGATGCGTGTCAGAGTAGTGACCGTGTGAATATCCTACAGATGCGAAAGACATGTGATTCCTGTTTTGATAGCGCAGTGTGATTTGTATCCTATCATTTTTCTGGAGAGGTGAAGAATTTTTATATAATAAATAATAATAATAATTTATAATAATTCCTTACACTTATATAGCGCCTTTCAGGACACTCCACTCAAAGCACTCTAACGCCTCTTCAGCTGCAACCTTTTTTTCCCAGGAGGTCTCCAATACAGGTACTGACCAGGCTCACACCTGCTGGGCTTCAGTGGGCTGCCAGCTGGGAGCTGCAGGGTGATATGGCTGCTGGCCATACGTCCATGTGGCCCTGTTGAACCTGTTGACGTTGTGGGATTCTATAGGAAACAGCTTGTGTGATGAGATTTCCTGGATCGTTGGGCAAGGCTGAATAGGTCATCGGTCTTCTGCTGAAAAGACACTCATGCCTCTCTGTCCGCGGACACTCTCCCCAGGTCCTGAAGGCAATCGGCTTACAACGCACCGGCAGGCAGGATGAGGCCTTCACTTTGGCGCAGGAAGTAGCAGTGCTCGAGCCCACCGATGACAACTCCCTGCAAGCGCTGACCATCCTGTACAGAGAGATGCACAGGCGTGAGTGACCCCCTACTGCACCCGGTCATTGAATGAGCTCATCCTGTGAAGGACTGGTGTCCTGTCCAGGGTGTGGCCCTGTCTTTTGTCCTGTGAAGGACTGGCGTCCTGTCTAGGGTGTGCTCCTGCGTTGTGCCCAGATGAACAGAATTTTCAATGAGTTCATTAACATGCATTGGGTTGAAAAAGTAATTATCAGCAGAGACAGGTAGGAGACCTAGAGGCAGACACACCCATTACCATGATCATTTTAGATCATTTGTGAGTTGATGTATTACAATACACTAGCTATGTTAGGTGATTTAAAAAGGGACATTTTGCAGATTTATAGAATGGTGACTGTCAGTGGAAGTGGCTGCATCCATTATATACACTGGTAAGAAAATGTTTGTGAATGCTTTCTCCCAAAAATATCAATGAATTGAAGAAGTTGTAGCAAGAGGCATGGGCCAGAGTATCTCTAAACCGAAGTGCAGGACGGATCAGCAGCTGCAGGAAACAGTGGGTTGAGCTCATTGCTGCTAAAAGAGGTTCTACCAGTTACTAAATCTAAAGGTTCAGATACTTTTTCCAGCATTAGACACTGAATTTTTGAACAATGTGTTCAATATAGACATGAAAAAGTACAGTTGTTTGGGTGTGATTTGCTTAATCAGATTGTGTTTATCTAATATTATGACTCGGATGAAGATCAGATCACACTTCAGGTGCAACACGTAGAGGAATAGAGATGATGCCAGAGCGTTCACGTACTCTTTGTCTCACAGCTGTATATTATATACATCTTTCCTCACTGTTGGTGGCATATTTCTTGGTGGAACGTGTCCCAGGATGGCGTTTTCCTCTTGCAGCGGAGCTGGTGACCAAGCTGTACGAGGCCGCGGTGAAGAAGGTGCCCAGCAGCGAGGAGTACCACTCCCACCTGTTCATGGCCTACGCGCGGGTCGGGGAGTACAAGAAGATGCAGCAGGTGAGTTTGCTCTCGCCCCTGCCCAGACCGAGGAGCCACGTGCGTGTCTCCAGTCCTCGTCACATGGTTACAGCCGGTCCTATCTGAATACAGTTTCATGGACGAGAAAGAATTGCTTTTGCTCAGAGCTTCTCAACGAAAAGGGCGTCGCGATGCTGCACATGTAGGAAGGGAGCCCCTTCATCCGGCCCTGAAGTACAGCGCCATGTGGCAGCTGCACAGCGGTCTGCTGGAGATACAGGAAGTTACACCTCCCTGAGAAGTTAAAGCCCTGCTCTTGTGAACAGGCCCATGGGGTCCTTCTTCACCAGTTACTCAGGGCATCTTGGACATGGATTTCTGAATCTTCTCCTACACCACAAGGACTCTTAATGGTGAAGTAAAACATATCCTGGAAAGTAACGGGGAACCTGACAATGAAATGGGAGTCACTGACGTCCTAAATGAGTATTTCACTCTTGTGTGCATTGAAGAAGAAATTGACAGCAGACAGCAGACCTGCGTCATTATTTATTTGCATGGTCTTACAATAGAAGATGCAGATATTTTTGAGTACTAGAAGCACTCAAAATTTAAAAATAAATTCATATATCCCCTGGCCTTGATATTATTCTTTTAGCTGTACCCAATTGCAAAAGGGGAATTTTTCCATGTGTTTAATGCTCTAATCGTACATCTTATTTTTTCTCAGGCTGGAATGGCACTTTATAAAATTGTTCCCAAAAATCCCTACTACTTCTGGTCTGTGATGAGCTTGGTGATGCAGGTAAGCGTGCAGTTGTCTTGGTTGCAGATTAAAAAAATATAAGGTTACTCACTTCGGAGATTGTGTAATTCTCAAAGTTAAAGTAAAGTTGTAGATATTTGAAAAAATGACTTCATCGTGTTGGAGCTGACAAACTGGGCTCTAGAAGACTAACAGACTGTGACTATGATGTTGGAACTCACACACTGGGCTCTAGCAGACTGTGACCATGGTGTGGAAACTGACCCCCAACTTTGAAGGTCTTTGAATCACTATCTACCAAACAAGATGGTATTTGTAACTTTTCTCTTAATTGGATTGGAATTTCTTCTAGTTCTCACAACAGGTTGGTTGTTATTGTGTCTTGGCATGAATCTCTTTCTAAATTTCAATTGAAACTGAAGTTAACATAGAAAAAAAAAGTTCCTTAGACACATGGCCAATTGAGCAGCTTGCTTGGAGTGGTGAGTGAGCCCTGTAATCTGCACATCTCCAGCTTGAGCCTGGGCTGTGTCAGCTAGCTGTGACCAGGATTTCCCAAGTGATGACACACAGTGACCCGGAATAGGCAGACTTGTCAGCCAGGCTATATCCTGGCCTCATGAGCTTTCAGTGTCATGAGTGAATATTCCAGCACTCCTGAAATCTGTACTACTGTGTCTTTTGTAAAATGCATCGTTTCAATGAATCATATTGATTAGCGGATAGTGATTCTGCTTTGTAGAGGAAATGAAGCTGGTTCTCTTCATTTCGTCTCTCCTGGTTTTTATTTAATTAGTTGGGGTGTTTTATTTCAGAAGACTGCACAGGTGACATGAAGCAAAGTCTTCACGGTTTCCAGGTCATTTTTGTCGCAGGCGGATACTGCTAGGGACTTGGTTTCGCGTCTTACCTGCGCTCTCGGTTGCTCTGCCAGGCCATCTCAGCGGAGGACGAGAAGCTGTCCAAGACCATGTTCCTGCCGCTAGCGGAGAGGATGGTGGAGAAGATGGTGAAGGAGGAGAAGATAGAGGCCGAGGCTGAGGTGAGTCCCTGCGTGGTGCCCGAGGGAGAAAGAGCGAGTCACACTTTGAAAGACATCGAAGGGCCGCCTGAGTTCAGGAGACAGACCTTCACACATCCGGTTCTGTGTAAAAGTGTGCGCCTCCTTTTAGATGATCTGAAATCATGCATATTCTGCCCAGGGCATGTTATCAGAGCTTCAGGTGGTTCCTATTGGTATGTAAAAGAAGTCTGAGTGAACAAGTAATGCCAAACTTTCAAGCTTATTTAATTTATTTAGTAAACTGAGTCATCCAATGTCCAGTGTCCCTGTGTGAAGAGGTTAAAGGTCCCTCTAGATTCGGTGGCTTGTTGCAGCACATTGAGCTTCAATTACCACTAACAAATGCTTCCTGTAATTCTCTTGCATCACTGTGTAGGAGTTCTGGCCCTTTTCTCCATGCCGAACTGCTGTAACCCAGTGACATTTGAGGCTTTAGTAGCATGAAGTGCTTGTCTCGGGTCCAGCCACAACATTTCTGTGGGGAGCTGTAGATGATCCAGCCGAGCAGTACTGGGGTACCAGGTTTACACCTGTCTTCCTAGCAGTCCCAGTGTGGGCAGAGAATAGCTTTCACATTGGTTGGGATTGAAAAGACTTTCACTAGCTTCCAGAGAAGATGTTAAGAACATGTTGTGACTGGATTGACTTATCCAGTGACTGTGACTCCTCATTAACGTTTGCCAATTGCAGCTGTATTATCTGTGTCAGCTGACTTGCTTATTTTAAGATTCTGAGGACAGGCAGCCTTTCTTTACACATAGGGTTATGGGAGTATAGAACAAGCTGTCCAGCCATGCTGCTGAAGCCAATATCTACCTTTCTTCTAGAAACAGCTGGATGAAATACTTGGATCAATAAGCTACTAACTATCAAACAGGCTAGATGGGCCAGACGGCCTCGTTTCTAACCTTTCTTGTGTTCTTGTGCGCAGGTCCAGCTATACTTCATGATCCTGGAGAGACTGGGCAAGTATGTGGAGGCCCTGGAGGTGGTGAGGGGGCAGCTGGGAGGTGAGGACTGAGCACTGAGCCGTGGGCTGACTTCACAGCCATGTGCTGTGAATCACAGTAGAGCAGGGGGCAGGCCTGTACCTAAAGGGGAACTGCGGTCCCCGTTTCTCAGACTGGTTATTAAATCTCGGTAGCAAAATCAATTCATTTTACAATAATTGATAAATTTTGAATTGAGCACAAAACCGTGAGCTTTGTGCAAGTTCTGTAAGTCTCCCTGTAGTCTCAAGCTTGCATTTGAAATGTGACGATATATGGCCCTTCCTGATCACTAGTCTCTGTCAGTGACCCACTGGTTGGATCTGTGACGCAGTGCATGGTGGTAAGAACTCTGCTATCCGGGCGTAACGTCTCCTAATCTAAATCACGTGCAGCAGCTTTGTCTACAAGAAGAATTTTTAATGTTAGATTCTGCTCTTCACAATATATTTCATTTCCAAATGAAACAAAAAAAAAAATCCAAGAACCACCTACCCTGCTGGCTTCCGGGGTCTTGAAAAATGCTGGAAATGAGTTGAATTTTTCCGTCAAGTTCGTTCACACGTGTGAAACGACGTGTTGTAGGGCCACTTATATCGGGGGGCCCCTGGACTGGCAGCCAGAGTGAAGGCACTGACACTGCTGAGTTCTGTTCATGGGAGTTTCTTGGGGGCGGTGGTGGAGCTCTGGTAGTTGAGTTGAGCGTCTCCGCGGGTGTGGCGCGCGGTGCCGTTGTCACCCCCTGCTCCCGCTGTCTTCCAGAGAAGCTGACGAGCGAGCTGCAGAGCCGAGAGAGCAAGTGCATGTCTCTCTACAGGAAGCTGGATCGCTGGCCAGAGTGCAACGCCCTCTCCCGGAAGCTGCTCCTGAACAAGTGAGCACCACTCGCTGCCCCGCGCACATCCGCAAAAGGGTTCTGGCACAGAAGTAGAAGACTCACATAGTTTCACTTGCAGCGTATAGTAGGGTCCTGACATCCGCGAGGGTTCAGTGCGGAGAGCTGTCTGGAATAGCCAATAGTCCTCCCCTCTACTGTTGCTTAATGTGATGCAGTGCGTAGTCTGTGTGGTTAAAAGATATAAATACCCTCCCCTATATGATAATTAAAGTATAAATGCATTGGCTTTAAGTTAATTAAAATAACATTGATCAACTTAACGAAACACCAGTCATTACATACATATAGTATTCAGTTAACCCTGAACCCCTCCTCTGTGTTCAGCCCCCATGATGAGCACACCCATCCCCATGTGGTCAAGATGTTGTAAGAGCTTCCTCACAATACTAGCACAGTTAGATGACGGTCAGGATGGGCTCACTCACTAGCTGGGCTCTGATGCTAGTCAGGTGGGCCGCTAATTGGAAAGTGTCTTGAAATGAGTGCTGGGAAGGTCTAAGGCACTGTTCACAAACACTCCCCGATACTCCAGTTAGATTGAAGGGTTACATCGTGTGAGCTGCTGGGGGATTCTGTTTTTCGAACGTTCTCGCATAGAATGTGGCGAATCCGCAGCTTTACAAAGCAGGCGTCGTTTTTCTGAATTTGCAGGTTTTGCAGACAGCCTGCTGGTTTTGGACCCGGATATTTGCCTGCGGAAAAGTAACAGTCCCTTCATGTGTTATTTCTAGCCTATCTTGCCATAGTGCTGAGTCACCGAAGACTTGTGAAGCATAGTGTGGAGTAGTTCCTCAAAGCTTTGTCATGTCCATTCATGCACATGCTTGCTTACATTTGTTTCTTTATTTTAGCAGTGTATGGTATTCTGGTGTGCCATTTAATGTGTCCTGTTTGTGTCCGTATAACCCGTATCGAGGCTTCGGTAGATCACTCATTTAAACACTGCAGATCTGAGCAGAAGTGACAATAAGAGCGCCTCTGTTGCAGTAACTCCCTCACTGAGGAGTTAATTTGTTTCTAGAGTTGCATCCTTTTGGGAATCAGCCAAGGTCTGAACTCCTGACGCCACACAGCTCGGTCTGTTGGGAACCAGCACCATAACAGCTCCAGCCGTTAGAAGTCTGTTGTTCATCTGTACCGTACCTCCTCGTTTGGGTCTTGTAATATTTGACAGCTCGCGCTTCATGTTCTGCTTTTCAGGCAAAAGTCTTGGTCTGCAGTTTTCTCACATCCCACCTCCCTGTCATTTTTTTTCCTTCCCTTTTTTAAGAACATCAACGCAGCTGCCAGAATATTCCTTTGTATTCCGGATCTGACGTTAGTTGACCATTCACTAAAACAGTGCTGATTCAATGACGCCATACCGCTCAGACTGTACCGGGAACAAGCACCTTAACTGGTTTAACAGTTTATACGTCCTGTAGACTTTAGAAAGCTGGTCTGGTGCCAGTTGGTCGTTACTGGTGGAACGTGTCTGGCTCTTCGACATCTGTAGCGGTCCTAACTCTTCTCCGTCCTTCCCTGTAACGCGGCGAGTTTGGATCGGTGCGTTTGCTCCACATTTCCACCACAGCATGCAAACGTTTCCCCCTAGTCTTACCGGTGGAAGCAGACCACTGCAACAGCCTGTTGCCCTTCCTCTTTCAGCCCAGACGACTGGCAGTTCTACCTTTCGTACTTCGATTCTCTCTTCCACGTCATTGACGAGTCCTGGTCGCCGCCTGAAGTGGGAGATCAGTGAGTAGCGTTTACGGAGATCTTACTGTCTAATGCTGGAGCGCGGGCGCACGTAAAGGTACTGGATAAATCCCCAGAAGCCTTTAAGGGATATTAATTGCACACTGTGCAATGCACGTGCAGAGCGCGCCGGCCGGCCGATGCGTGGCCTTCAGGAGGTGGGGGGTGTGAAAGGCGGGCGTGGCGCCCTAACGCTGGCTCTCCCGTGCCCCAGCTCGGCGGAGGGGGAGGTGGAGTCCTCGGTGGCTCAGGCGATCCGCTTCGTGGAGGACCGGATCCGCGCCGAGGAGGCGCGGGGGGCGCGGCAGCGGCGCGGCCCGTTCCTGGCCCGGCTGGAGCTGATCCGCCGGCTGCGGCAGAGGGCCGACCCGGAGGAGACCCAGCTAGGTAGCCGGCTCGTCGCCTCCGTCTCCGCGTTTCGGCCCCGCGTCCTCGGGGCGCAGCATCGCCATCGTGCCATCGTTTCTCTCCTGCTTTTCCCTTCTCGGCAGTAGGGTTCTGCAGAGTTCACATAGCTGTGTACAGACAGTGGTTATATATCGCAGTGCCACCTCCATGAAACGGGCCTGGTTATACCGCAGTTTCAGACATACCGCCAGTCCTGTCGTGTTCCCCAGTGCAGGTATGTTTCGTTTCTGTGCAGTATAAACGACTCCACTACGAGGGGGTTTGCTAGGTTCGCTAGTGTTTCTGTTGAGTGGTGGCACTTCCTGCAGAAGCAGCAGCTTCCCAGCGTCCTTTTCAGCTGACGCAAGGGGCGCATGCAGACGTGGCTCCTGTAACCCCGAGCAGGTGCCCCCTGTGCTCGGAAGGGCTGCAGTCGTGAGCCCCAGCAGAAGCTGATCTGAAGCAGCTGAAGAGCTGACTGAGTTGATAGTTGCGTTTAAAAGGCTAGTTTATTCCGCAAGTGTGGAATTCCGGAGGGAAGGATACGCCAGAGGATGAAAGGAAAAGAACAATTCTTGTCATTCGTGGGGCAGCAAAGAAGGAAAAAAAACAGGAATGCAAATCACTGAAATGTAACTAATGCTGTTTACTCATCTAAGAAAGAGGTTCAGGACAATTTCACATACAACAGGGGTGTTAAAGCCGTACCCTGACGTCCTACATTTTAATGGTTTTGCAATGTAGCTCCCTGTTAGCATTTCTCACATCTTTTTAATGACGGCAGCGTCTGACTAATCAAGCTGAGATCAGTATGAGAACACCAGCGTTGTGTTTGGTTGTCGTATTGTTTGCACATGTGCATGTGATGCAAGGCTAGTTTAATGAGCTTAAACATTTTTAAAAGGCGGTGAAAGAGAGGTTTTGATTTAAAGCTCGCTGACCTAGAAAGCTCGTTTATGAATTTGGCGAACCCAGTGAATGACGTCTCCTCAGACAGAAAGGCATGTTTGTTTTCTCTCTTTAAGGTTTTGTGACGAGGTCAGAATTGTGAGCTCGTTCTTAATTTGAACTGTTTAATGGAGCCTGCGATTTCTCTTCGTTTTGACCGATGAAACGTTATCGGTCAACTGAAGTGTCTGCATGACTGAAGCTGCATTGTTGGCTGTCTTTTCCCCCAGGAGATCCTTTGGAGCTCATGTTCCAGTACTTTGTGAAATTTGGAGACAAACCCTGCTGTATCTCGGACCTCAGGATATTTCTGGACCTCTTGATTCCCGCCCAGCATGTACAGGTAGACTGACTCCTAATGGGAGTTCATAGATCGTGAGAACGGACATGCCACCCATTCCTAATATAAGGATATAAGACGCATTGTAGTCAAGAGGAGGCCATTGGTCTAATTTTGCGCTTTTGGACATGGGAGCTACGATGCAGTAGAATAAATGAATCTGCTCCTTTAATAAAATAGGTTGACACTAAAGTTAAAGATCTAAGAATTCTATCAAGCCAAGCCTTAAAGGCCTGTCGGTGTATTATTACATTTCTTTGCTTGTCAGGATCTGTGATTTTTGTCATCTGGTTTGTTGGTTTTTATTCAAAATGTGCTGGAGAGCAGTTGTAATGCAATTTATAATGCAGTGCTTTGTTCAAATACCTGTATCTAATCACTTGGAACGTCAGTTTGGATCTGTGAGCAGTTCTCTGACAGTTTTGAACACTGCTTGAGAAGAATGATGCACACACTGTACAACACTCACAGTACATGCGTGGTCACATTCACTGTATCAATAGCACTCTCCTGTTTCACTCGTGTTTTTAGCTCCATTTTGTAAGAATAAGTGAAGAGGCAGCTAGTCAAAATCAGTCCCTGGAATGCCATAGCCTCAAAACACCTGCACTTCCACCCTGTTACTTTTTAGTTGAAGTGTTTCACTCGGATATCAAAATGTTCTTGACTTTTCTCCGGATTTGTGGAGGCTCTGCTGGAGATCAGGCCGAACTGCGTGGTCTGCACTTGAAAAGTCAACCCTCTTCTCATTTCCCAGAACCTGTATTCTGCTCCCACAACGGCTCAAGGAGCCAGTCCGTTCTGTTGGAATTATTGTTCTAATTCATTGGGTTTTCAGGAGTTGACAGCCAAGGGTTAAGTTAACAACCTTGGCCTGACTGTGGCTAATTCTAAGAAGATTGGTTAAGATGTTAAAACCTCCTTTGTTGGAGGTGTTTCAGACGTAGTTGGGGCCTGAAGTTGTTATTGAGCCAAGGCTGGGGCAGTATCCCTTAGAATGGACCCAATCATTGCTGATGGGTTAGTTCCTGCTTGAAATAGTCCTCTGCCCTTTACACACGCTGGTCTGTGGGAGACGTTCGTACTCGGGGGCATCTTTAATGACGACAGCCTCCACTCGTTTCGGGATCTGAGGGAGAGGTGCTCCTTTGGTTTTTTCGTTTTATTGTGTTTAAGGGCCCTTCAGGTCTTTATGGTGTCACGCGATACTGCTTTTATACTCTGGCCAATCGAATTGTTTCAACCGTCACTTCAGGGGGTCTAATCTCTTCTCTCCTCTCATCTCCCAGTCTCTTCTGTGGGACAGAGACCTGGGCACACAGCATGGCTCGGGTGCGGTACTTTAATTTTCAGTAAAAACATAGCAGGCTGGAACAGTAAAAAAAAGTACAGATGTACTGCCACCCTCTTTTTTCTTTTGTGTGAGCGCCTGTTGTCTATTTTTAGGTGTTTTTGTAGTTTTGTTCTGCAGGATTAAAAAATGCTCAACAAGCAGTGCTGTGCTGATGATGGATTTTGAGGTCTGAGGTTCAACCGAGTCCAGAGTCCTCAGACCTTATCGGGATTTATGTCCGCTTGCAGCTGGTACCACCACCACGGAGGTGGCTGAATGAGAGACAGAAGAATACGTCAGCCTTCGCGGTTGTGTTTTTTAGTTGAAATACAGCACTGGGTAACTCTTTCCCCCTGGTTTCTCTTCCCTTTCCCCAGTTCATAAACAGGCTGATGGAGACGGTCCCTCTCTCAACACCACCAGAGGGCAGTGTGGCGCTGCCTGCAGACATCAAAGCCTTGCAGAGGCACCTGTGTGTGCTCCAGCTGGCCCACTCGCTGGGCCTGCATCACAGCCTGGACATGCAGCACAGCATTGACCTGATCAACGAGCTGAAGACCAGATACCGCCACGGGCTGGAGTTTGGTAAGCCGATGCCTATTCTGGGCAGAAATGCTTTTAATATTATTAGTTGTTATTGGCTTTTCTCAAGACAAGAGTTATAATTCTAAATCTGGGATTTATAAGGAAATGCTAGCAGGTTGTCAGAGTTCTGATGTTCACAGGTAGCTGGGGAGGGTGTGATCAAGACTTCCATCACCAACGTTTCTTTCACTTCGGAGCTGGAGGATCCTCCTTCGTTTGTTAGCACAAGCACTGAACACGCCTCTCTTGTCCTTTGGCTCAGGAAAGTCCTGCTTGAAGACAGAGCTGCAGTTCTCTGACATGTACTGTCTGCTGGCCGCCCATGTGTACGTCAACCTGTGGAAGGAGACTGGTGAGCTGTCGATTCTCTCCAGAGCAGCAGACTCGCACAGTCAGCTGTCTGCTTGACCCGAGGTGACCCAGCGTGTGTCAGGATGTATCCTCTGTGCACAGTCTTTTTACTGCCGAAATTTGATGATAGCATAATGGAAACAAAAACAGTTTTGTACTTTGAAGTGCATTTTGATTTCGTCATCTTAGAACAAAAAACGTGCCTGATCATCTTCTAAAATACATCATGGGCTTAAAAGCTGTTCATGTAGGTAGCTGTGTCAGCGTGCGTAGGCTGCAAAAGAACAGGTAAAGGTTTAATCCACGCTGAAAAGAGATGATGTTTTGGCTCTGGAGCCCCCTTCAGGTGCAATTGAAGAGGGCTCCACAGTTGAAATGTTGTGTCTTAAAAGCTGTGGTACTTAACCGATCAAACAATCCCTTTATTTTGTGAAATGCTAAAACTTTTCAGTATTTTCCTGACTGGAGAAGTGCTTAAGTTTTCCACTAACCAGTTCAGATGAGCTGGAAGTGATGCATTAAAGCCATCAGTTAAGCGTTATTTGCCAGTCCCAGGATTTTCTGTAACATTCTGTTTGTGTTTACTTGAGCAGTAAAGGGGAAATCTTTCACATTTTCACAGAAAGACTGCTCTCTTGGGTTATCTTTAGGCAGCTGTCTTCAGTGTGAGGTTTGCGAATCTGGCTCTGTGAGATCTTTATCGAGCTCTCGGACCGTTGGGGCCGACGTGGGCCCTGTCCAGACACAGACCCGGAAGTGTTCGGTGCGTGCAGGAAGCAGGCGTGTGGCCTGAGTGAGGGTTTGTCCCGTGTGTCTCGCCGCAGGGGAAGAATGGCTGCTCTGGAGCTGTCTGGGCCTGCTGGAGGAAGGCCTGGCCCACAGCCCTTCCAACGCCCAGTTCAAGCTGCTGCTCATCCTCCTCTTCTGCCAGCTGGGGGCGTTCGAACCCGTGGTCGACCTCTACTCCAGCCTGGACGCCAAGCACATACAGCATGACACCATAGGGTGAGGGCGGGGGTGCAGTCTCCACGACCTCCTGCAGTGGAGGAAATGTAAACTGGTTTTTAGCTCGTCTGTGCCACAGCTCCACAACAGGGGCTCCTTCTTTCTGTGCCGTGGGAGGGCGGGAGAGAGTTCGCCGCAGGGGCTGTGTGGAGTTCGCCTTGCTGATCCCCTCCTCCCTCTTTCTGCTGCAGGTACCTGCTGACCCGCTATGCAGAGTCATTGGGCCAGTTTGCTGCTGCTTCCCAGTCTTGCAATTTCTCACTCAGGTTTTTCCATTCGAACCAGAAAGATGTAAGTGTTTCTCGATCAGCGGCAGGCTGTGTTAATACAAACAAAGCTGCTCACAGAGTCCAGGCTCTAGGAGTCTGCCAGATGTGTTCACCAGTTAGCTGTGAACTGCCAGACAGGCTTGTTTGTAAGCATTCTTCTTGTTGTTGAGTGTATGAGTTCATCTAGAGACACAAAGCATCTGTTGAATCAATTTTTTCTACTTGATTGTATCTCTTTGATTTTGTTTTGTTTTTTTAGACCTCAGAATATATCATTCAAGCTTATAAGTATGGTGCATTTGAGAAAATCCCTGAGTTCATTGCCTTCCGCAACAGACTGAACCGCTCGCTGCATTTCGCTCAAGTTCGCACTGAAAGGATGCTTTTAGACCTTTTCCTCGAAGCAAATATGTAAGTCTTCAGTGTTTTTCGCCTATATTATCACATTTTCTGATTTGCCCTTTCAAATACATTATGAAAAGTAAATATTGCATTCTAAGAGCTGTTATAGAGCTTAAGGGTTATTGCCCTAACCTGCAAAGTTTTTAGGTGTCCTTTTGTTTGTATGATGTGGCCCAGAAGTTTTGAGGATGTTTTTCTGTCTGTTTGAATTATTGATTTTGTGTCTGGGTGCACAGAATCATTGATGGCTAAGTGGGTTAAGACATTCGATTCTCATTCCTTTCAGCTCTGGCACAGAAAACTTCAAACCAAACTAAACATCAGCCAATGCAGTCTTTAGATCCTAAGACCATCCTGCCTCAAAGTCTAAGTATCAGTCTGTTAGGTTACTCTTCTTGTCTAAGTACAGCATTGTTAGTGTGGGCTCAAGTCCCAGGTGTGTGCGTGGCCATTGCTAGGGGGTGAGGGACTAGCGTTCCCTCTGGGCAGGAGTTTTTTTCTTGCAGTTCATGTTAGGTCGTTAGGATTCTGCTGGATTTTAACCTTTTCAACCTGTGAGTCTGCTCTGATCCGCAGATCATCAAGCCTAGAGGAGAATGTCAAGTCCATGGGCCTGTGTCCTGAGGAGGAGGACATTCCCTGGGCTGATATGAGGGACAATCGGGATTTGACAGTTCTGACCAGCTGGGATCCAAAGGACCGGTATGAGTATTCTTTTCCTAAAGTCTGATTCTAAAAATCGCATGTACTGTTCTGTGGGCAGGACCCTGGAGAGATAAGTACCATTCCTGACCTTGGCCAGCTGATGTATTGAAGTCTTAAGGAGAGCTTCAGGAGCATGAGACAAACTCCATTTGTTTCCCTGGCCTGTAATGTCCCCAGATGTCTGTCCTGTTGAAGACTGTTGTGTCCAACAGAACATACAGTTTGGCTTCATGACTCACTTCACCTCAAGGCTAGAGATGGGGTTGTGCTGCAACTTTCAAAACCTTGTGGATTGCATGCCACATCCCATTCAGTGTGTTTTTACTGATCACGGAGAATGGACAGGCTATCTTGTTAGTGGTGATGGTGTCCTAATAATTTAGGCCAGTGAGTTTATGACATGAATGGAATGAAACTTCACTCCTGGCTCTGGACCAAAGCCTGATTCATAGACCTATTGGAAGTGTACCATCAAGTGTACAGTAGCACTGCAGGGAAGAGCTCTGGGCTCGGTGTCCCGCTGCCCGGACCCTCATGAGGACAGCGGTGTCCCGCTGCCCGGACCCTCATGAGGACAGCGGTGTCCCGCTGCCCGGACCCTCACAGGGACAGTGGGCTCGGTGTCCCGCTGCCCGGACCCTCATGGGGACAGTGGGCTCGGTGTCCCGC